GGGCGGGCGGGCGCAAGCAACAATTTGATTGTCACGCTTGCAAGCGCTGCAAGATCGAGGATGCCTTCCCTCGCGCACAGCTGGCTGACCTGGACGACGACGCCAATGAGGCGCGGGGTCGAAACAATGTTTTTGCTGTGTACTCACCAGTGTGTGTGTGTGTGTGGGTTGGGGCCAAAGCTTGAAAATCTCACGTTTCTTTGCCCTGGCAGGACCTTCGGGATCACAAGCGACGATGCTTGAAGTGCCTGCAACATCTCGAAATGTTATCGTGCAGCAAGTGCAATTCTGTGAAAGACGTGGGGGACTTTGAGCCAGTAATGGCCACCATGCCGCAGGGCCACATTGTTTGCAAGCAATGCCAATTGAAGGTGGCGGGAAGGGCGAAGATGTGGATGGATGGGTGGTTCACGTGCCGCAGTTGCCGGTTCCTTTTTGTCGACCGTGCGAAGGCGAACCGCGCAAAGCAGCGGCAAGTTTGCTTGAATTGCACCAAGCGCGCCCCTCGAAAAGCAGAGGAGCACACTTGCCGTAAATGCGGTGAGAAATGGTGCGAGCGGCAGCCGCCTGGCAATCGCAAGCGCTATTGCTTCAAGTGCCGGGTAGATTAAATACATGCGCAGATCGGCGACAGTCAATCGCAGGGCTCTTCGTCGCGCCAATGAGCTGCGGCCAAAGTTGCCAGTGAATTGGCCACGGAAAATGAAATGGAGAAACCGGCGCGATGAATGTTCACTCCAATAAAAACGTTTGCGGGTTCCACGCTGTTGCAACACGTTTTCAATTGCTTGTTCATCAGGTTCTGGAAGAGGCCGTGCCAGCGCAAGCAAATAGAGCAAGCAAGAGCTCAGGGCAAGCGTAAGGTGGCAAGCAAAACCTTAGGACGCGGGAGTAAGCGCAAGCCAAAGCCCGGAGGAAGGTCTTTTGCAAAGGAAAAAACGAGCTAGTAAATGGGCTGGCGAAGCCCAGCTCGGAAGACACAATCGATGGAAAAGCGCAAAAGCTTTGAGCGAGCAACCGCCCAAGGCAAGCCTCAGGTTATAAAGGACAAACAAAGCTCGCAGCAAGCCCGCGCCAAAAACTCAGACACGGATAAATGCAGCCAAATATCCAAATATTCCGGGCCAGGTCCTGTAAACCCTTTTGCTTTCAAACGCCCAGATCCGGATCCCTGCGTCCAGGAACCCAGGCCTGGACACACGCAGCCAAATTTTTCAATATTCCGGGCCACATCCCATAAACCATTGAGCTGTTAAGCGCCCGAATCCCGATCCTCACGCTCAAGCGCCCAGACCCGAATACATGCGCCCAAATATTCAAATATTCCGGTCCAGATCGAAAAATATTTCGGTGGCGTGCAAGTGGCACAAAAGCTTAGGGCAGGCTAGGCTCAAGGCGGCCTGGGGCAAAGCTACTAATTCGCAACAAGGAAGCCAAGGCATAGGCCAAGTAAAAGCTTAGGGCATGTAAAAGCTTAGGGCAAGTAAATGCTTAGGGCAGGGCCTACTTTAAAGAGCCTTAAAGCAAGAAAGGCAAAGCCACCTACGCAAGTAAAAGCGTAGGGCGTGTAAAAGCTTAGGGCAAGTAAAAGCTTAGGGCAAGGCCTATTTTAAAAGACTTTAAAGCAAAGACTTGGCTAGGGCGCCAACCTGTGTTGGCGAATCCTAAACCCTAAACCCTAAAACCCTAAACCCTAAATCCTAAATTAGGCAGTTGTTGCCACCTCGAATGTTTGCCTCCTAGAACAGTAAATGTAAAGCGTGGCAGGCAGCGTGAGTTGCAACCACAGCACGGCTGCACTTTGGAGACACTTGAGCGCGCCAGTGTCGTGTAAACGGGCGGGAGCAGCAGCGAGGACAGCCGCAGGAAATTCCTTCCCAAATGTAAATCTAACCCGACTGAACGAATCTCAGAAAGTAGATCGGTAAAATGGGGCTTGGGGCTGTGTCCGGTATTGTCGTTATCCTCCTGTTGTCTTTTTTTCACAAAACGGACAACAGGAGGATAAGGAGAGGACAAAAAGAGTACAACGAAAGGACAACGAGGGACGGGCTAGCAGCCACGCCAAGCTAAGCTAGAAGGGAGACAAGAAAAGGATAACAGGTGGGCGAAGCGGACAACAAGAAGACAGCTGCTGGGAGATGATCTCAGAAAGGGAAACTTCGAGGGTTCGTCGCGGTGAACCATTAGGAGGAGATCATTTTCAACAAGTCAGACTGCAATGGCTGGTGCGGGACCAGCAGGAGATGAAGAACCGCCAACATCAGAAGCTCCAACTCAAGAGCGAAGAAACAGTCAAGAGCTCCAACATCAGAAGCATTGCGCAGAAGGGTCGGCTGGCGGAGGTTCCACCCCAAACTGCCTGAGTAAAGCGCGCCGCAAGCTGCATTGAAGTGTGGTGACTGGATTGCAGAAATCACCTCTCTCATTAACGACGTGGGTGCGAAAGCGTCAAAGTGGTGGTCCACTCTCATGAAAGAGGTTGGGGAAGCGTACAAGCTATGGTTGAGCTCAACGACCAACTACTTTGACACATGAGTCCAAGAAAGACAATGAAATCAAATCTAAAACGTGAGAATTGAGATGGCGTGCTTCCGACTGAGTTGCCCCATGATTTGGTTCCTTGTTGAAGGAAAATAAAACTGGGGGTGGGTGGGTAGGGCCAGGGTCTCTCCCACCCCAAACAGCAGCAAAACCACTCTCAAAAAAAATAAAAAAAAATATATATATAAATACGTCCATTGCCAAAGCAAGGAACAAGGAGAAAATTGAGGCCCTTCGGCCCTTGAACTTTTGGATTTTGCCCGTCGCGATTGGGCATTTTGTTGGTGAAACCGTGAGCCTCTGGCGCTCACTTCTGAGCAGCCATGTCTGGATAATTCAACCGCTGACTTTGTCACGCAGTGGACGCTAAAGCGGGCGCAACCCACTCCTTGGCCAGGAAGTCAGCAAACTTACTAGCTGCATCTGCGACATTCTATCATTTTTGATGCAAATCTTCAAACACATTGGCAAGAATCCTCTCGGTGCTCCAACAACGTTACCTTGGAGACCGGGAAAGGCTAAGCAGACATGAAAAACATGCCATGCAGCGAATTTTGGTTGCCTGCTCAGCTCACTGCCGCCCTAAACATCATTTTGGCTAGCGCACAACAACTCTATAAATTCAACAAACTCTCTGCAGGAACGGTGCGACGTCCGTGTGACCACGATCTCGTGCGCAGTGTTCCGGCAATTTTCCCAAACCTCGGACATTGGAATCGCGCAGGAGCAAGCCAAAGAATCCAAGAATGTAAGAAACTGGCGGTTGCGTGCCCCGGCTTGGCCACTGTATTGCAACAGGAGCTTTACGACCTGAAAAATTGGTACGCGCCCCTGAGGTGACAGCGCAAGCGTTCAATTGCAGCGAGGTCACAGCATAGTCACCAAGTGCTGCAGCCAAATGCAGGGGCCTTTCGCCACGCCCATCCTGTTGTGAAAGCAACGGCAATCCAAGAAGCAGCCCTGCTGTGTATGTAAGTAGCACGCGTAACACTAAGTAACAAGTCATCAAGCGAACAACCATGTTGGCTCTTGACATTTGGCATGAAGCTGGTCGCGTGTGCTAGCGGCTCAAGGAAAATCTATTTTTGTACAGCTGACTCCTGGCATTTCATGCCCTGGTGTAAACACAATGGAACTCGCACTCATCCTATTCTTATTTGCGAAACGCCCCCCTGAATTTCATAGCTCAACATGTCCGACGCAGTGTTCCGTCCCTCTTTTTGCTTTGAGTTGCCCTGACCTCTCCAGCTGCTCGCAGCACTCAGTCATCCGCATCCGCAGAGCACGGAGCAGTGATCCGGGCTCTACGGTTTCCTGGCCGTTATGTTATGTGTTCTCACTGACTGGCGGATTGCCTGCGCCTCAATGTCCAGCCTTCAGCCCGTGATTCCTGAAGGCAGTTGCAGCGGGCGCTTCCTGCTGTTCCCTTCTCAGTTTTGAAATCTGTTGGGGCCCTTTCATGTCCACAAGAAAGTGCTCGAAGTCGATCCCCTTGTTCCACTGAAGCTTGCAATGGGTCTGCCTCCGTCTCCGCCTGGGTATTGCCCGGCGCGCTCGCTGAATTACGCTGAAAGAAACGGGGTAGGGTAGACGGTGAAGGTGGTGCATTCTTTTGTCTTCAGTTGACAATGTGGGTCCTAAAACGTAAGCAAATCTCATCCGCTCGGGCTTTGGCAATGTGAAAGGTCTGCCTTGCATCGCGAACCCGCAGTCTGGACGCCTTGCGGCCCCCCTCCGCGCGATCCAAGACAATGAGTCAAGGACTGGACAAAGTTCCGCCGTCTCAGAAGACTTCCGCTTGCCGGCGCATGGGCGAGAACAGGTCAAGAACAATGGGTCGAAGCCCACGGGCGTTGTGAACAACAACGACGGTTGCGCCGTTTTCATCTTGGTTGAACTGTCTTCCACAAAATCTGAAGCACTTGGCCTCCGTCGAGTCAATGTCAAAGTTGATAAGTTCGCTCTTCACCTCTGGAAGACAAGCGGAAAACAACACGACTCCTACCACGCTGCTGCTCCTCAAATAAGAAAAGCTTTTCGAAAACCTGAGAAGGGCGGCCGAAATCTTGCCCTTTCCAGGCATTCATCGGTTCAATGGTCTGAAGAGCTTGTGGCAGCCTACACAATCAAGCAGCAACAGAACCGCATAATACAGGCCAAAACGAGTGAATGACAAGCAAGGCGAGATGAGAGTGTTGCAGCTACATTTTTCTGCTCCTCGTGTACAATATACGCCTATAACAATATTGATATTTCGCGCGTGGTTTCTGAATAGGCTAACACAACCCAAGAGTTTCCGTTCCCCTTCACCTGATAGAGCGGAGGGGCCACGCCCACTGGTTCAGCAATGTTTTTTTTGAAGTGACCGGAGCCAACGGACTACGGTGGCTCTCGCAGGTCAATGGGAAACGCTTCTGGAGAGATTTTGTTAGCCTACTCAGACATCAGTCTACATGGCCTCTTCCAAGAACCCAGGGCTCTCTCTGTCAAGTGGAAGCAAAATGAAAGCAGCATGTCAATATTGGCCTTGTTGACGATCTTGGAAGTAGCCCTATGCAACTTGGTGACGCAAATGATGCAGCGACCGAAAGCTGGCCCCTGCAAAAAGCATTAGCCCCACCAGGCTATGATGAAAACCACCACATTGGCTCTCCCCCCACACCCTGCCCCTGTCTCCTTTCGCGACGTCGACGATTTTACTTTCTTCCTTGGCGGTGCTTCCGTCGAGGGAAAAATGGGCAGCCTATCGTTATCCAATGCTTCATCTTCTTCGTCTGGGAGAAGTTCTCTTCAATCTTCTGCGGGTGAAGTGCGTATCAGGATCCTGAACTTCTTCTAGAAGCCCTTCACCATGAAGGAATGCCGAAGGTCAAGTGGACCGCTGAGGATCTGGGGTGTCAACCTGCCAGAACACCGGAGTCTCAGTTCTTGAGCTCCTTTACCAGTATGAATCTGGTTCTGTATGGTGGTCAGCGGGCGATCTTTTCCACTGTATGACTCAAGGGCCCTGTAAGCCCAAATGTAGCGGTTCCACGAGAAATATTTGCACAGCTGACTCCGAGCCTTTCATACCCTGGTGCAAAAACACAGCGGAATTCATGTTTCATATTCCTCAGCCACCCCGAAAGGTTCCACTCAAAGCAATCTTCCGCCACCGGCTTTGGCGCGATTTCACTTTTTTCACCCATTGAAACATTGCCAAGCAATGAAGCTTGTCTTGCAGGACACCACATGATATGGCAATACAGACTTGCAATTCACATCCCTGTGGGGAAATGGAACAAACCATGACAAGTCTCGGTCCTCTGCATTGGCATCTGCGCCATTCACAAGCAACGCCTCTACAACCGCCTGAATAGCATTACCCAACATGTTAATCGGTTTGGTTCACTTGCGTTGCCAATCTATGCTCAGAGCCCGTCCAATTGGCCGCGGGCCACGGCTCGGTGTAATGGTGTGGCGCCCCAGTCATTGGCGGTGATTCCTGTAAACAGTAACCTTTCACCCATCCACCTGTAATTCCCCAATAGCCATGCTATGGGGTCTTGCAAAACTAATAGGCGGACGGGCGCCGTCGGGTCACCGTCAGAGCTGGTGGGCGGATGGTGTCCCGGTCATGTTTTGATGGCGTCCGGGTCATGTGATGCTGGTGTCCCGGTCATGTTTTGATGGTGTCCCGATCATGTTTTGATTGTGACCCAGTCATGTTGTGATGGTGTCCCGGTCCTGTTTTGATGGTGTCCCGGTCATGTTTTGATGGTGTCCCGGTCATGTTGTGATG